GGGGGGGGGGGGGGGGGGGGGGGGGGGGGGGGGGGGGGGGAGGGGGTACGAAGGTACGACAACCCCCCCGAACGCACGGCGTTAGCGGGCGTGCTCCTTCTGGCTCCCTACCTACCTTTAGCTGTCTGCACCCTCGGTGACGAGTGAGAGAACACGTTATTTTCTCATTGTTGGTGTTTCGTCAAAACCTCTGGCTCCCTGCCGGGCAGCGGTTGACGGCCTTCGCTTTCAACTCTCACGCTCTTTCGGTACAGCAGCAAATCTCAATCTTGTTTTTTTGTTTTTTGTATGAGTTTAGCTCGTCTCTGTGTTGGCTCTATCGTTTGTCCAGGGAGAGGGCGGGGAGACCGCCCCTGGCAGGGGAGGGACGGGCGAGATGGGCGCGGGGGTGGGGGGGGGCGCGGGAGACATGGCGGAAGGGCAGGGGGGAGGGGCAGGGGACGCGGCGGTTTTGTCCCCGTTGGGCAGGTGAGGATGCTTTGTTCGTGAAACCGGTTTCCCTGGTGTCTTGGTTGTCGTAACGGCGTCGCAGAGGTGTGACGTCATGTAGTCTACGTAGGCTGGAGGCTTTTGTGTGTTGTTGGCTTTGACACGTTGTTGCGGTGTACTTGTGCGTATGTTTAGGCCGCAGTGCATGCGTGAGTGAGTGAGGCCGATGCTTGGCATCTGTCGCGTGTAGCTTTTGTACAGCAGTGCAAGGAGCGCCTTGTGCCCCCCTTCATGCCTCTAGTACACGCGTACCCGGAGACATCAAGGGACAAACTACACCATTCCCTCTAAGGAACAAGCCCCTTGCTCGAGGACAGAGTTTTTTTTTTGCGTTCAGTCTCGCTGGAGCAGAAAAAGAGCCCTGGTGAGACGCAACAACAAGTTGTTGGCCCTCCCTGCGCCCGAACACACTACCGACCAACTGCCTGTAGCGCCCAGAAAAAGGGAACAACTCAAAGGTCCTCACCACGCATGCGCTACGGCGATAAGGTCCTATCATGGAGTCTCTCTCTTGTGATGTCGAGGGTGCTAGGTGTCTTCCCACGCCACCAGGAAGACCGGACAGCCGCTTTTGCACTATTTAGTATTGTGTACAGGTTTAGGGTTGGTTTGCTTGATACGCTTCGTCTACACTAGATGCAAGGTTTCGTTCTTTTCTTCCGAGACTCGCCCTAACTTCGCGTTCTATCGCATCCGTCCGAAAGATCTCATATTTTTTTGGTAACTTTCTTTAGGACTTCTTTGTCGGGGGCGGAGGCAGCGGTCCCGCTGCCTACATGCCGGCCGGGGTTACCCCTGGCGGCGACGGGGGCGGCGGAGGAAGGAGGGGCGGAGGAGACACATCCGAGTCAGAAGGTGAGAGTGGTGCTTGGGCGCGGGGGTGTGTTGTTTTGTTTGTTTTTTGTCGTTGTATTTGCTGAGCTGATGCGCCCGGAAGACACACCTAAGAACGCTAAATATCACGCAGGGTTATGCAGCACCATTGCTCTGTCTGATACTATTCGTACTTGAGAAGCAGGACCCTGTCGTCCCACTCCTGCACCCCCCCCCCCCCCCCCCCCCCCCCCCCCCCCCCCCCCCCCCCCCNCCCCCCCCCCCCCCCCCCCCCCCCCCTCCCCCCCTTTTGGTTGAACCCTCACTTGCCCTTTGGCTAGCAGGTGTTCCGTGTTTTTCATCCGCTACAATGCTCATGTCTCTTCATTGGTCGGCCGGTTAGCGCGGTCGATGTTGATGAAGAAAACACGCTCACAGAGTTGCTGTCGTTGTATACAATTAGTCGTGTGGTTTGCCGTCGAACTTTGGTCCAGGTGGCGCAGGGATTGAGAGCGACAGTGGCCTTCATCTAGTTTCTTTTTCTTTCTCGAAGGGTCTTAAATACCTTGGGTTCTTCGGCGAGCGGGGACCAGAGACCTTGTGGGGTAAAACATGGTGCTCGCGTACCCAGGGGTGGGGGTAGGGGGAATGGGTCAACGCCGCCGGCGGTTGGGTTGCCAACTGATGGTGTGTTGGGGTAAACAAGGGCAAGCTTGCCAAGGAGGTCTTTTTTTGCTCGAATAGCAGTGTTCGTACTGCTGTACTTTCACCCACAGCCGCTGCCCGCTCACTGGAGTATTATTCTATTTTTTGTACTAGTCTTCCGTTCTTGTGGAGTCCTGCAGAATCATCTTCTCCCCGGTTCCCCCGCCCAACACGTTCCGGTCTCTCGACCCCTTTCCGCAAGCGGCCGAAGGTTTAGGCCAGACAGGTAAACCAAGCAAGCAATTCGATTGCAGCAAACATCCTGTTGTGCAGACGTCTACTCCAACGCACACCCTCTTTTCCGAACCTCGCCCGTGCCCCCCCACCCCAGACGAGCAGGACAGGAAGCGGTCGTCGCATTCCCGTAAATCTGGCCCCGGCGGTAGAGCTGTCAAGGAAGATGCCGAGGGTGGCGGTAGTAGCTCGGCGGCTGGCCTGAAAGGGCCAGCGTCAGGAGGCTCTGGCGGGGCGGGTGAAGAAGAAGATGACGATGAGAATATGTTCGGTGTCGGCGAATCGGTGTCCAAGGGGGGCGGGGGCAAGGAGGGGGATGTGTTGACTCTGATTGGCTCGGACGTCGGGCGGCGGTCGAGGTCTTCCAAGCTCCCGGGCATGAGAGTGAGTCGGTGGTTCATGGACAGTTGGGGTCGTTGTTGGTTTTTGTTGGGTGTTGGTTTTTGTTGTTGTTGTTGGCGTTATTGTTAACGATGTTGTTGTTTGTCACAGAAATCTAATGAGAAGATGACAAACCAGCACCACGGAGTACAACTCCTGGGGTTTCTCGTCTTTTTTTGGTGTGTTTGGTTTTGTAATAGGAAGATTTGTTTGTCTCGCACTTGCCGACCTGCTTCATTTGTTTCCCCCCCTTCGCCAGGTGACCGGAAACGTCATGTCCGAAGACGATTCTATGCGACCGGTGGCTCTTCCAGTCACAGCGACCGCGCAAACGCCGGGCTCGCGTTTATTCGCCCAGGCCAACGTGAGTACCTACATGACGTAGGATATCACACCCCGTAGACCTATTTTCGAAGCTTGATATCTCCACAGCGGCGCCGAAAACGGCGACGTTGAAACCTTGTCGTCGGCAGCTTGCCGAAAGCGTTTCGTATGAGTCATTCACCCTATTTGGCAATCGGCCCAGGTGGTGTACTATCTTGTGTCCACCTAGGGTGCATGCAGTAGGGTAGGGACGAAGGAAGGGGGCAACGAAACCTGAGTTGTTTCCTCTGTTGTTGTCCTATTTGCACACCATCCTGATGCGTATCCACTTATCACCTCGGCAAGCCATGTGTCGAACCTCGTTCTTTGAGACGGAAGGAGTTATCAGAATGTCCCATTTTTGGAACTTTGCCGCCTTTGTACACGGTACGGAATACCATCCCTCTCAGGCTTACGGTGAAAACCAAGCTGTTGCGACTCGGTTGTGGCAACGAAAGCCCAATGCTGCAGATGAAAGGAGGAAGCCCAGGTTGTTGATGACGGTGCCAAAACTCGTGGGAGGGTGTTGATGATGCCCGACGCGACATAAGTGCACTCTTGGTACACCACTTCTAATCGCGAAAATGAAGACGTTGATCACTGCCAACGTAAATAACACCGATTTTTTTGCCAAGGATGGAGTTCGAAGTTCCTAGGGTTATGCTACGAATGGCCGCTGTGTGGGGTTTCTAACCGAGCTCCCAAACGTGCTCAAGTTCTAGATTTTGAGTTTTTCGAGGCTGCATCGATTTCTTCAGTGCCAAGTTGCTGAGTGCGGGCGCTAGCTACAGCGGAGGTGGAGACGTTGAAAGTATGTGTTGAGCGTTTTGAAGACGACGTCGCAATTCCGAAACCGAACTGGTTCTCCTGCTAGTGCAATGATCGGGGTGGTCTGGTAATATAACGCGAAACCACATCTGACGCGAGCCATTGCATGAAATGGACGCTCTCCCCCTCCCCCCCTCTGCACCGACGATCAACGCATGCGTCACCTCACCTCTCCTGCCCGTTCGCCGACACATTCTCTACTCAGAACCAAGCCGAGCTAACAGAGGAGGAAGACAGCAGCCTCTTCTTCGTGCAGTTGCCGACCAAGCTTCCCAGGCCGCTGGCGGCGTTCCAGAGAGGGAAGGACGGCGCTTCCGCGCCCGTGCGGGGCAAGGGGAAGGGGAAGGCGACGGGTGAGCCGGATGTGGACTAGTGGATGCGTTTTTTTTTGTATTCAAGCCGTTGTGGGTCACAAGTGAATGGTATGTCTTTCGCCTTGCTCGCGAGATAAAATTGACGGATGGCGCTCACATCGCCCTGCCGTACACCGTGGCACCTGTGTTGCGTTAAACCGCGTTGCTTTTCGTGAGCCGGTTGTTTCTATGCCCGTCATCGCCGGAGCAATGTTTTCGCGAAAATATTTGGGTAGAGGAGAGGAGTACTGGAGGGTAGAGGGTCAAGAGGATGCTTTGTTGTGGAGACTCCTGCACCATCACCATCACCATCACCATCACCATCACCATCACCATCACCATCACTTTCACCTTCACCACCACTACCAACAGCAGCAGAGGCAGCAGCAGCAGCAGCAGCAGCGGCGGCGGCAGCAACAACAACAACACAATGTACCAACAACATCCGGAACTGCTTGTGCTTGGACGTTGCCCGTCTCCGCTCCCCTAGTACCCCCCTACCGTTCACGCTTTTTCCTTGCTTGATGTTCGTTTTGCACTCCTCCTTGTGTTCCCGGCTCTTCTCTTCCGAAAGCAGGAGGCCCCGCGGTGAAAGAGGAAGCGGGGGAATCGGGTGCAGGGGGAGCAGCTGCCGGGGCTACCGGTGGCAAGGGAAAGGGTGCTGCGGCAGAGAAGGCTTCCGAGATACCGGCGGACGACGTGGCATTCGATCAGGGGCTCCGGCGAATGCGCCCTGGCAAGATTGGCAAGGTATGTACCAGCGCCGGCTGGACTGCAGCCGTTGTCGTCGTCGGTGTTGTTGTTGGTGGTGGTGGTGCTGATCGGTGCGGGTTTTTTGCTGTTGCTGTTGATATTGGTTTTGATCTGATCGTCGAGTGTCGCTAGGCGTCCAACGGGTTCTTCGTGCACCCTGTAGCTTGCGCTGTAGTGCGCGGTTTCGCCCCGTGGTCGCGTGCCCCGTTCGCACCATTCGCTGACTTGGCGATGCTTGGTGTGCTGCTTAGTAAAATATCACCGGCGACACCTCGCTACCCGACATGACCGGAAACGACAGCAACGGCTGCTGTCCCATGGGCTGCATAGCGATGCAAGCACACCAGCTCAAGCACACGTCAGTTTAGCACAGGATGCGACGAGTGTGAAGCTTCCATGTGGCGTGAAGACGAACACGTACACAACCCCTTTTTTTATTTCGCTCGTTGCGAGGACTTGACCTGTAAGCCTAGTCCTCCCCACCCCCCACCCCGCTGTCGAGGACCCCGCGGAATAGAATTCGCTTCTCGTTGACCCTTCAAAAATGAGTAATTCGTCTTGCCCTTCCTAAATTGTTACGCACGTACAACCGACACACGTACACAAACCTGCCCCGCTTGTCAGCCTCCCGCGACTTTGTGGACAAATGCGCGGATGGATCAGCCTGTCGACTATGTCATTGTTCCTCCGCGGGTCCCAACACCCCACCCCCCCATCGTTGTTTGCTGTGTACAGCTTTACGTGCACCAGTCCGGCAAGGCTAGGCTAGTGATTGGAGGCGTGAGCCTAGTGGTGCACCCAGGATTGCCGGTGTCGTTCGTGGAACAGGGCGTTAGCATCGACGCCAAGCAAAAGACGTTCTGCTCCTTCGGACAGGTAGGGACGGGGCGTGGGGGGGGGGGCGTATTCGACGACGGTGCTGTCGTACGCCTCCGCTTCTTGACACTCGGTTTCGGGGGCGGGGGCGGGAGGCGGTCACGTCTATGTTGGTCTGGTTATGCTTCCGAGGTCTAGTCAAATGATACGTAGCAGGTCGTCGGAGCAAGGAGAGATAGGTATTATCGTTGACGGATGCCTTCGTGATTGATCCTGCATTTCGGTGAACATGGTGACGGATGTGATATTTGTTGTCACGACCGGTTTTCCCGCCCTCTGTAGCGTACGCTGCGCGGTGTTTCAAAAGCCCCCCGATGACCGACCACGGCCTCTCTTCCATTCCTCTAAGGCTGCGTGGAGATACCTGATGAAGCGATACCTATCTCCCGGGGTAGACATGGCGCTCACCAGTACATACACATGGAGCATGGGGAAAAACTTGGTGCTGAAGGACATACTTTGATTCACGTCACTCCCGCATTCGCTTGGACGGGAGCCGTGCCTCTTGCCCTCTTTCGTTGACCCCTTTCGCTCGCGCGGACGCGCCTGAACCCTCACCGGTCGCTGCATCGCCGACACGACCAAGGTGACGAAACGAGCTGTCTGTACCCCGGACTTCGAGCAGCTTTATCGCCGCGCGGACGAAATCAGCGGCGGCGGCGGCGGCGGCGAGGATGGGTTTGAGGGCGGGGCGGGGGCGGGCGGCGACGTAGGGGGGCCAAGTGAAGATGGAGATGACATGAATTGAGTGGGTGGTTCGGCGAAGTGCTGCGGCTCGGCGTATTCGTTAGCTGGACCGTGATCGCAATAGAGGTTTGTCGCACCTCCGTTGCTGTGTTAAGAGTGAAGAGTGGTACCTGTGCTCGTGCATCGGCACGCTACAGCAGTACTCAGCATTCCTTAACCTCGCAGCGATGTTGTTTTCGGACGAGCCCATTGACACCCATGGACCGAGGTTCAAAGCTCGATTAGTTCACGACGAAGAGGATGCCAACATTTCGGAAAGCTGTTGGCGACACGGTTTTGTCGCTGCCAGTTTCAGCAGTCACTGTATCTCGTGCGGAATATTCTATAGCTTTGAAAACCGGTCACGTGTGTGGATTCTTCTGCTATTTTCGGTATCTGTAGCTTGCTCGGCACTGTCGATGTATATGTCTGTTGGGAACTTTGGACGGTGGGTAAATTGGCAGGATGCGCTGAGGTTGCAAACAAATTGGTGCGCAGCTACAAAGGCTTTCTTCATTGTCATCAGTTGCTGTAGGTGCAGGGACGCGACAGCTCTCTCTGATCGGTGTTTGCTGCTTGCGCAAGAAAGTGGAGGGAACATCAATGTGCTCCTGCCTTCAGTGTTTGTAATGAGGCCTACAGTCGTATCTTTCGGCCACTGTTTTTGGACAGCGTCTTGTGGGGAAATCGTTCGAAGGTGTAGATGTCCTGGGCAGACCGGCTCCGGCGATCTGTAACAGCCCCCAATGTTTTTCAACCACCTGCATGGAACGGAGTCAGGCTTCTTTCCGCTTTGCCCATGCCATGCACTGATGGAGTACATGCGCTTCACACGTTTAACTTGGCCCACTACCTAACGCGGGCCCGTGCGGTCTCCGACCTGGATATCTCGTCTGTAGCAAACGACGTCCGCGGAGCATGTTTTCCGTCTTCCCACCTCCAACGGCTTTCTACTGTCAGTGCTAGGATGCAGAGAGAGGGACGCAAAGGCAAGACACCATGGCACACGACGGGCCGCTGTACTGGTTCGATGTTGTTCATGGGTTGAAACCTCGAAAGTTCGTAGTTTCACTTCTGATGAATCACCTTTAACAGTACGGAGTACAGTAGTAGTCTACGCAAAGAATACCCATCCGAGAACAAAGACTCAACCGAAGAGCTACGTTGAAGTCGTTTTAATGAGCGATGAGAAAGGTAACCTCCTGATACGTGTTCAACATCATCTTTAGAAACTATGTGCAGTATATACATTTGAAGAAGATTGGTATTGACTGGTGCAATGTTATGGTCAACACGTTCGTGGGTGGGAACCACGTAAGGTCGTTGATTGAAATCTGATCTGGAGAATCATCTTCGAACGTCCTATTCAAAATTCAGTAGTAGTTTAGCAACATAAATATATAGAATATATATATGTATTTTGCCATCACTTCATACCAGAGCTCACAACATTTCTGCCGGTTTTACTCCTCCCCGTGGTCGCACAGGAGAGCCCCTCTCCCTCCCCTCCTCTCCTGCGGTACTATTGCCTACGATTTTTGAATAAGAGTTAGGCCCTCCCTTCCCTGTGTACACACGAACTACTAGCGCTACCCACAACCAGGAACGAACGCAAGCGAAAGAGAAACTCATGTTGTAAGGAAATTTCACTCACGCCGGGACTCGAACCCATGACCTGGAGCTAAAGGGTTGCGCGGATGGCCAACTAGACCACCGGAGCGACCGGCCCAACATAACATGTTATCCCAATCAAATGTCAAAGGTGTGAAGTTTTACCGCGTGAGATGAAGAAACCAACCTGTTGATGATGTGGGTTCGAATCCGAAGAAATTACACACAATTGGTGCAAATTAATGTTAGAAGTGGGTGGGAACCACGACAATTTTCGTTCACTCACTCTCCCCTCTTCCCCTCGCTCCTCGACAAGCTTTTGCTTAGACATGAGTTGTAGCGAAGGGGGGGGTCTTTCTGGCGAGCAGGGCTAGGCTCACCCTCAAGGGATGACCGAAACCTTCTTGCTGCTGCGCATCCGCCGCGAGGCGTGCGTGTGGTGGTGGAGTTGGGTCGGCACTGATGGGGTCAGGCGGGAAAATGTAGATGCGCGGGCCTTTCTGGCCGTCGGCGTAGGCAGTGATGCCCATCTCATTTTTGTACGCGGAGGCAGACACCATCAGAAAGGTGGACGGGCACTACACGGCCCTAGGTTTGCTAGAGGGAGCTGTATTGCCTCAGTAACCTGGCTTCGCCATCAAAGGGGGAGGGAGAAGGTGGCGACGAGCTGAACTAGGCTGGTTGACCATTCGGCGCGAGAATTTTTATTTTTTTCAGACCAAGAACCTTGAGTGCAATGAGGGAGAAAGCGAGGAGCGGACTGGGAAGGACAGCAACGAGAGCGTGTACGGACGGAGCAGGTCGAGTGACGTTTTGCTCGGGCTGACTACAGCGGCGCCGGATGGAGCAATGGCACCGGAGCATGCGGGCGACATCGACCCGTGGCGCACGGACAACCATTTCTATCTGTGTTGTCAATTTTTTTCGTTTTTTTTTCTGACTTTCCGTGTTGTTTTTTTTGTGTGATGACATCTGACGTGGAATCGGCCGGCGATGGCCTATCGCGCGTAGATATAAGTGTAGATGTGCCAGTGGGGTCGTGGGTTTGCGCGTCTCGATGTTGCTTGCGATCAAAGTGTGTTTCTTAGGCCTTCGTGGGCTGGGAACAGCAGGGAAATTGAACACTGAAACAGGGGGG